TCCACTTCAGGAGGGGCCCTGTGGCAGCAGGAGGGAGTCAGATCCGCTGCCGGAGGTTTGGCTCCGCAGAAGCGCAGAGTTGGGTGTTTGCGTGGAGCGAGCAAGTTCCCTGGCAGGAACTGGTTCTCTTTGGGATTTTGGCTGGGGGATGGGCGGGGGAGATGGCGCTGGCGAGCGCCTTTGTTCCCCACCAAACTGAGCTCTGTCGTCAGGGGGCTCAGCAGCTCTCCTTCCCTTTGTCCTCCAGCCTTCCCGCTTTCTGAGCAGAGCTGTTAACTTATGACCTCCCAGACGCTAAGTCGCGCTTGCTGTGGGAACACAGTCCGTCAGGCCCCTCCGCTTTTTGCAAGCTAGACTCGGGGGCTCTGCTTGGCCGGCGAGCCGCCCCTCCATCCCGGCTCCCTCCCGCCAGTCCGTGGAGCGCGCACCGCCTCGCCGCCCTTCCTACCCTCTTCCTTGGGCCTCTCGTCTGCGCTTGGCTCCGGCGACTCCGTTCTGCTAATCCTCTGGTGGTTTTCTGGGTTATTTAGGCAGGTGTAGGTGGAATCTCAGTGATCAGCAGGACGCGCGGTGAGCCCAACGTCCTCCTACGCCGCCATCTTCCCTCTCTCTCCGAGATAAAGTAGATTTTAAGACAAAAGAAAATGTAAGTGACAAGGAAGAATTTTTCATAACCATAAAATGGTCAGTCAGAAAGACCATCATACTTGGCCTAATAAAACAACATGTAGAGCATTAAAATATAATGAAGCAGTAGAGACAATGGGTGAAATAGGTGAAAAGAATTAAGAGGCACAACTTCTAGAAAAAAAAAAAATGAAGCCAGATTGATAAGATTAAAGGGAAAGATAGGCCATTCCATCATTCTCATATTTGGAGAGTTTTAAACTCTACAGAGATTGCTACAACTAGACAAATCAACAACGACACGGATTCTTTGCAATACTACCTTGACCTAGTTGATATTTATAAAACACTACAGCCCACACTGCAAGTGTTTTTTAAGTTGCATAGCACATTCACCAGCATAGACCATACTCTGGGCCATATCTCAAAAAAATAAAAATATTCAAATCACACACACTTAGCCCTCTGATCACAGTGGAATCAAATTAGGAATCAATAACAGCAAAATGTCTAGGAAAAATATTCTGAAGTTAACAGATTTGTAAATAACCCATGAGTCAAGGAATAAATCACCAGAGAATTTAGAAAATAGTTTGAAAATGAATGTTTAAATGAAAAGTAAACTAGCTGAATGAAACATACATCATCCAAATTTGAGGGGTGCTTAGAGGGGAATTATAAAGTTTAGATGTTTATGTTAGATAAGAAAATAATATAAATCAATGATCTAATTTTCCACGTTAAGAAATTTAAGAAGAACAAATTAGAGGTGCCTGGGTGGCTCAGTTGGTTAAGTGTCTGACTTCAGCTCAGGTAATGATCTCATGGGTTTGTGAGTTCAAGCCCCACATCGAGCTCTGTGCTAACAGCCCCAGCGCCTGGAGCCTGCTTCAGATTCTGTGTCGTCCTCTCTCTCGGCCTTTTCCCTGCTCATGCTCTGTCTGTCTCTCTCAAAAATAAATAAACATTAAAAAATGTGTTTAAAAAGAAAAGCAAATTAAACCCCAAGCAAGTAGAATGTAGGAAATAATGAAGAGCACAAATCAGTGAAATAGAAAATGTGTAAGCAATAGAGAAAATGAAATCAAAAGGTTCTGAGCTGGCTTCTCCCTCAGCTCTGTCATTAAATCTGCACAACACTGAGAAAGTCACTTTACCTTTCAATGCATCTGTTTACTCATTTACATATTAAGGGAGGTTGGACTTAGAGACCGACAAAGTGCTCTAAATTTTTAGGTGCTTGCAGAAGTGGAAGAGCTACAATAATGGAATTTTAAAAATAAGCATGTGCTAGTAGTTGCTCATAAATATGCTGAATAAAGGAAACCTCATAATATCATTTTTCCAAATATTTATTTATACAATTGATAACTGATCAGTTTGTATTTTAATACTCAAAGGAATATATGTCATGGACATAGACATGATACACAAATACAATGTTTTGTATTAAGCATTAGACAGCTTAGCTAAAAGTGAACATATGCAAGTGTTGGACTGCAAAGCAGATTAGAGATTCCAAGCTTGATTTCTGTTTGACTTGTTCAAACTTGAGGCCCTTAAGAGAATCATTGTCTTTGTTCTGTGGGCCTATTTCCCCACATGAGTTGTCTGCATTATTTTTAAGATTTAATCAGACACCCAGCAAAGCCAAATGTTTTCTGCCTCAAAATAAATTCTGGTGAGACTGCTACAAAGGAGGATCCTTGATTTTTCCCTTAGCTCTCACTAAATGAGATTTTTTTCTTAAAATTACTGGATTCTTAAAATAACGATTTAGAATATGACTTTACTTAATGTCCAGAAGGAACCACACCACGGAAATCTGGAGACATTATTTTTTTTAATATTTATTTTTCAGAAAGAGAGAGACAGAGTGTGAACAGGGGAGGGGCAGAGAGATATGGAGACACAGAATCTGAAGCAGGCTCCAGGCTCTGAGCTGTCAGCACAGAGCCCCACGCGGGGCTGGAATTCATGAAACGTGAGTTCATGACCTGAGCCGAAGTCAGACGCTCAACCAACTGAGCCAACCAGGTGCCCCGAAATCTGGAGACTTTAAAGGGAATAAATAAATTACTGTTCCTCCTAAGTAGTATTGGATGTAGTCTCAAATTACATGTTCTCCAGACCAGTTCCCAAGAGTTCTCACATTCAGCTATAACCAGCAACTGTTAAAGGGGTCTTTCCTTTGGCCTGTTGGCCATTATGGCCCAGGACTACTTGAAGTCTAGTAGGTTGCCTGGATCTGAGCATTTTCTTGTCTGTGAATTAGGGGGTATGAGATAGAAAAACAGGATGTGAAAAGCATAACAACGGGACGCAAACCACACTGGCACTGAACACTTCCAATTTGCCAACAGGTAGCACTAATACACTTTTAGCAAAAAAAAAAAAAAAAAAAAAAAAAAAAAAGGCAGAGAAGTGATGCTCATAACTTAAATTTAACCACAAAGACACATTAAACAAGCTCAACTAAGGACATTCTACAAAATACCTAATACTGTTCAGAAGTGTCGAGTCATGGAAGACAAAGAAAGACTGAGGCCTTGTCTCAAATTGGAGATGTAGTTAACATGCAACGTGTGATCCGGGATTGGATCCTGAAACAGAGAAAAGAACATCAGTGAGACAATCAGTGAAGTTTGAATAAGATCTGTAGATGAATTAATAAATATTGTATCAATGTTAACTTGCTGGTTGTGGCCATTGTACTATGTCTATGTGAGATATTAATATTTGGAGAAGCTAGATGAAGAGGAAGAATACAGAATGTTTTATACTATTTTTGAAGCTCATTTTTTGTAAGTCTTAAATTATTTTGCAATAAAAGTGTTGTGTTTTGATTTTTTTTTTAAGTAAAGATGGGGCGTCTGGGTGGCTCAGTCGGTTAAGCATCTGACTTTGTCTCAGGTTATGATCTCATGGTTTGAGGGTTCAAGCCGTAAGTCAGGCTCTGTGCTGACAGCTCAGAGCCTGGAGCCTTCTCTAGATTCTGTGCCTCCCTCTATCTCTGCTTCTCCCCTGCTCAAAAATAAAATAAACATTAAAAAATGTTTTAAGTAAAAATATAGAATAGAAACTCAAATCAGTGTATGTTGGTGAGGAAGTTTTTTAAAAACTAAACCAATATGGGGCGCCTGGGTGGCGCAGTCGGTTGAGCGTCCGACTTCAGCCAGGTCACGATCTCGCGGTCCGTGAGTTCGAGCCCCGCGTCAGGCTCTGGGCTGATGGCTCGGAGCCTGGAGCCTGTTTCCGATTCTGTGTCTCCCTCTCTCTCTGCCCCTCCCCCGTTCATGCTCTGTCTCTCTCTGTCCCAAAAAAAAAATAAATAAACGTTGAAAAAAAAAAAAAACTAAACCAATAGAAGTAACTAATATGGGGAGATTGAAGCACGAAAAGAGTAAATAGAAAATGCAGATGAAGCAGGTAAAAATATTTTTAAATTAATTAACAAATGTCAAAAATGATTTTTTCAATAAAATAAATCTTTAGAACAAAAATATCCATCTATATGTTACTTTAAAATGTGTTATATCTGGGTCCTAAAATAAAAGACTCATAAATAATAAAAGCAAAAGAATACTAGGCTAAAAAAATTATGTCAGGAACATATTCATGGAAAGAAAACTAGTAGTGCTAATTTGATATCAACTAAAACACACTTTAAAGCAAAATCTATTTAAGAATAAAAATTGCTACTATATAGTGATAAAAGTAACAATTTTCCAGAAAGATAAAATGATTCTAAACTTAGGTACATTTAACAATATAACCTCAATATGTAATTTAAAAATCGCTGGAATTTACAACCCACAATTATATTAGTAGATTTAAACACATTTTTCTTAGTATTAATGGGTTAAGCAAGGAAAATAATTATCACATTTGAAGAAAATATAAAAAAGCATAATTAGGCTCTTTCCATAGTTTGGCTATTGTTGAAAGTGCTGCTATAAACATTGGGGTACAAGTGCCCCTATGCATCAGAACTCCTGTATCCCTTGGGTAAATTCCTGGCAGTGCTATTGCTGGGTCATAGGGTAGGTCTATTTTTAATTTTTTGAGGAACCTCCACACTGTTGTCCAGAGTGGCTGCACCAGTTTGCATTCCCACCAACAGTGCAAGAGGGTTCCCGTTTCTCCACATCCTCTCCAGCATCTATAGTCTCCTGATTTGTTCATTTTAGCCACTCTGACTGATGTGAGGTGGTATCTGAGTGTGGTTTTGATTTGTATTTCCCTGATGAGGAGTGATGTTGAACATCTTTTCATGTGTCTGTTGGCCATCTGGGTGTCTTCTTTAGAGAAATGTCTATTCATGTTTTCTGCCCATTTCTTCACTGGATTATTTGTTTTTTGGGTGTGGAGTTTGGTGAGTTCTTTATAGAGCCTAAATTTCCATCAACTGATGAATGGATAAAGAAATTGTGGTTTATATACACAATGGAATACTACGTGGCAATGAGAAAGAATGAAATATGGCTTTTGTAGCAATGTGGATGGAACTGGAGAGTGTTAAGCTAAGTGAAATAAGTAATACAGAGAAAGACAAATACCATATGTTTTCACACTTATGTGGATCCTGAGAAACTTAACAGAAGACCATGGGGGAGGGGAAGGGAAAAAAAAGGTTAGAGAGGGAGGGAGCCAAAACATAACAGACTGTTAAAAACTGACAACAAAGTGAGGGTTGATGGGGGGTGAGAGGGAGGGGAGGGTGGGTGATGGGTATTGAGGAGGGCACCTGTTGGGATGAGCACTGGGTGTTGTATGGAAACCAATTTGACAATAAATTTCATATTAAAAAAAATAAATAAAAAGCATAATTAGAAAAAAATCTGGCTGAAATTTATAGAACCTTACAGTCATTAGAGGACTCACCACATACTGGCCCCAAAGCAAGGCTCAAGAAATAATAAAGAATTACTAACAAGTTCTCTGACCACAATAAAATTCTGTTAGAAATCAGTAACAGGAAAACTTTTAAAACCCCATATATGTTTGGAAATTTTAGATCAGATTACTGAAGAACATCTTGGTCAAAAGAGAAAACATCACAAAAGTTAGAAAAATTGAGAGCTAAACAATAATGAAATTTTTCATATCAAAATGTGAGCTGCAGTTGAAGAATTACTTCAAGGGCAGAGGAGATTGAATATGAGGTAAGTCTCAAACTCAAAAGTTAAAAAAAAGGAAGGAAATAATAAAAAACAGAAATGAAAGAAGTGCAAAACAAAGATACACCAGAGATGATCAAACCAACAAGGCTGAAAGTTGGTTCTCTGAGAAAATGTAAAAGAGAATGGGGACAAAACCTGACAAGACTGAGAAGAAGGAGAAGGAGAAGGAGAAGGAGGAGAAGGAGAAGGGGGTAGGAGAGGGAAAAGGGGAGAGAGGGGGAGGAGGAGGGGGAGAAGAGATTGCATAAATATTAGGAGGAAAACATAACAAAATATATGATCACTTTTTAAAAGGAAGATAGTTCTGTGATCAGACTGACTTCCTGAACATAGCAAGCTGAGGGCTTCACTACCTCCTAAGAATGCTTGGGATCCTAACCAGACAGGAAAAGCTACTCAAAGCTGAGTGGGCCCTTCCCCAATCCCATCTCAGTCTTGTCAGTCACTTGATAAAGAACTTAAAACATATCTTCATAAGAATAAGGAGATTCTTTTGAGGAGGAAATTAATATATATTATTTTTTAAAGGTTTGTTATCCTGCTTGACAGTACCAAGTCACAACACAAAAACCATTATATATAAGTTGATGGGTGATATATTATCCATGGTGATGTTTCCAATGACAAATGGGTTTTGAAACTGTAGGTTCCTAATCAGAACCTTTGAAAAATGCCACTGTTTTTAAGAATACCTTGCCATCTGTTAATGACATACAAATGATAATCCTCACAGCAGCCCTGCAGTCCCTGTTGGAAGTCAGCCCTCATTATTGAATACTCCTCCACTAACTTAGACTGTTTAAAAGAATTTAGGAGGAAAGAAGTGCCTTGGTTACCAACTTTTCAAGGTTTTTATTTCGTGAAGGGGAAAAAAATCCAGTTTTGTCTATGAAGAAGTTCTCAAACTTGGTTGCAATGGGATCAATCAGGGGGGTTGGGGCAGCAAACCCAGGCATCTGTATTTTTACCTAACTCCCTGGTGATTCTGAGGTACATTAAGGTCTGTGCAACACAGTTTAGGGTTTAAGATCTGCATGTTCTAGATTCTGTACATGTACCCCATTCTCAAGGGCATGTCCATCCCTAGGCACTTTGATAACATTGAGTACTTACTATTTGTTAGACATCGTTCTAACGCATAGAACATGTATTAGCATTTATTTACATGTATTAGCATTTATTCTTAGAACAGCTTTTTCAGATCTATACTATTATCCCCATTGTACACAAGAGGAAACTGAAATACAAAGAGGTCCACTAATGCCCAAAGCCACATAACTGATTAGGAACAGTCTAGGATTTGAACTCGAAGAGCCTGGCTCCAGATCTTGTGCACTTAACTATGGCCTGTACTGCCTAATATAAAACTGACCATGTGACAGCAAATATTGCTGAATGAGGGTCCTCTTTAAAGTAACAAAGTCACAGAGGAGAAACACAAATTCATCTGTCAAATGTCACAACTGAGAGGTGTTACCCCAGATAAGTTGGTAATTCTCAGGCTCCATGAGGTTTCAGAGATGAATCACATTTAGCTCTGGTCTCAAGGAGTGCAGAACTAGACATAGGACCCTAGTCTGTGCTCCATATAAGGAGAGGTATAAGCATCAAGTAACAAAATGTCTGTTTTTGGCCTTCTGGTTGCTTGCCTTTGGCAAATCTATGATCACAAAAAAAGGAGGGAAGCATTTAACCCATGAAAAGGTAGGTTGACAGAAGTTCTAGCTGAGTTTCATTATTTTCTCCAATTCCTTGATATTTCTGTTTGGTTTTGAAGAAATTGGATGAACCATTCTGGACTCCCATGACCATGAGCACAATAAGTCATAGTCAGGAGTGTCTGGGTGGCTCAGTCGCTTGAGTGTCTAGCTCTTGATTTCAGTTCAGGTCATGATCTCATGGTTCATGACTTTGAGCCCCGCTCGCACTAACAGTGCAGAGCCTGCTTGGGATTCTCTCTCCCATATCTCTCTGTCCCTATCCCACTTGCACGCACTCTCTCTCTCAAAACAAATAAATTAATTTAAAAAAAAAGTAGATGGTAATTGATGCCATGGAATAAATTTGAACATAGACAGGTACAGGAAAAACTCCAAGGTACACCCTGAGAGGCAGATCTCTGAAGACAGGTGTGCAGAGAACATTCAGAGTGGCCCAAGAGGAAGGAAGTCAGAAGTGCACAGAGGATCAGGGCCAAAAGCAAAAGAAACAGTTACATAAAAGTTTACTTCTTAGAAAATGTGTTCAAACTTTGCAGTCATTTAAGTGATTAGTGTCCTATAATTTTTAGGGGGAAATTCTACAAGTAAATTTTGTCTCCTGATGGCACTTTATATATCTCCTAAGATTTATGGAAGAAATACTGTTGCACTTCATGAACACCAGTCATGTGAGGTCTATTTGCTATTATATAACAAACT